ACATGATCCACAGCTTCCCTTATGTGACTTTACTTCCCCCTTCAAAGACTGCCATTAACAGTGTTTTAAAGTGAGTTTTTCCTATTTAAATATTTGAGGTAAAAAGCTATCGAGAACTTGTTGAGCTTAAATGGTAGACAGATCTCTCTCTCTTTCTCTTTCTCTCTCTCTCTCTCTCTCTCTCTCTCTCTCTCTCTCTCTCTCTCTGTCTGTCTCTCAGATCATAAAGGTCTAGGATTCTATAAAAAATGTAAGGTCAAAGGAGCCAGAACTCTAACTGATGTTGGGCATTCCAAGTTTTCCATTACTATAACAAAATGCCTGAGGCTAGGTGTTTTATAAAAAACACTAGATCACCATAGAAGTAAGTGGCCAACTCAAGAACTAATGAAGCAGTCATTAGTCCTGTTTCAAGCTGGCTGAAAGGCCAGAACTAGATCACTCATCTAGAAGTTCTGCTTGCTTTGACCTTAACACCAGCCTTGGCTGATGTCAACAGTAGGGAAGAAGGAGGAGGAGAAGAGGAGAGCGAGATACTTCCAGCAACCTTTAATTCAGGCTGTACATCCAGCAGACATTAAACCCACAGCTGGAATAGCAATGAAGAGTCCAAGCCAGCAGCTGCCTCCCTGACTTCAGTCTAACCCACATCTTTCCCATGACAGCCAGACCCTGGTGAGGGGACCCCAGGTACTCAGAGAGTCCCATTCACGTCACATCTTCTCTTTCCAAACCAACTGCCAAGGAAAGCTTCCTCAGCTGGGGTACAATATCCTTCCTCGTGTGTGTCTCTCTCAAGGAACCATCCCAGTGGCTGGTGAGTTAGCCTCAAGACAGGGCTCTGAGGAGTGGTGGGCTGTCACTCACTTCCCAAAGCCCTAACCCCTCTCTCATCCTTGTGTAACTAGATTAGAGGCATTCTCTCCCGACCCCTACTCTCCCTTCTTGCTCCTCATTCAGAAAGAGCACTTTAAACAGCAACAGCAACAAAGCACCAGCAGGACATTTCTCGTTAGCACAGCTCCTTGTCAAAGGGACCCCAACACCCCTCAAGACATTTCTGTGCCATCTGCATGAATTGTATTTTAAGAAATGTGTAAATGTCTTCAAACATTAGTGACAGCCCTTAGACATCGTGCATTTGTACAGCGTGCAGCTTTCATAGCTTTAAGCACTAGCCAAAGACACTAGAGACCTGATTTAAATGCTACTTGTGAGTATCTGAGGAAAGCTGTAGGTAGAACTGAGGTTCCTTGTTGTTCTGATTAGTGCTCATTGGAGCTAACTTCTGTACAGCACTGAAGAGTAGAAAGTGTCCCTGCCACCAGCACGCTCCTCTAGCAGGGGCAAGGGCAGGCAGTAAAGGCTTCAGTGAGACCTTTGCACTGTGAACTTGCTGTCCCCAAGGCACCATGTCGAGAAAACACCTTCCACAATGGGAGCCCACGTGGCGTTCTGGGTCAGTAATTGATTTAACTCTTAACTGATGCCTTTTTCCCTGACTGTTTACCAAGCCCAAATATCCTTGAACACAAACAGGCTGCATAGGAATATTCCATTGCGGTTTTTGCTTCTCTTGTGGGGTGGGAAGAATGTACGAGAAAGAACATTCTTCCCTGCCCTCCAGGACAAGGTGCTCGGATGCAGAAGAGCCAGTGGAGACTTTGTCTGCAGAGTCCCCGTGTGGTCACTGCCTGCTACATAAGCAGACTATTTACAAAGTTAAACTGCCCATGGAAGGATCAGTATCAAGCAGTGTTGGGCTAGGTTCTGAGCCAAAGGAGTATTTAGGAATATGCACACATGTATGATATCAAGGAAAACATTAAACGGCCTCTGGCCAGCTTTGTTCTCTTCTCGTCCCATTTCTTCATCTAGTCCTCATCTCCTCTTACATTATGTAGCTAATGAACTTTCCTAAAATCATTCTGGAAAGAGAGATTAATCATGAATAAAGAGAACTGTTGGATCCTGTTCTTACTATCCAACCCCTTTCAGCCCGGGTAGGAATGGGCAACATTTAAAAGACAGGGTGCTTGAGATAGGATCTCATTATGTAACCTGAGCTGACTTACTGCCTCAATGTCCCAAGTGTGCGGCCACACCCAGGAAGCATTTAGAAGACAATATCAGAATAGTTTGCTGGATGTATGTTTTTTTACCTGGCCAGCAAGGAATATACTGTTTTAAGTTCATGAGAAATTCAAATGGATTTGGACAGAGTGTGGGTAGGAAGAGATTAAAGGAACTTTCTGGGGCAAAGCAGAAAGTCCAGGAAAAAGGAGAGCAGGAAGCTCGGTGTTGTTTGTTTTGTTGTTGTTGCTGCTGCTGTTGTTTTGTTTTTGTTTTTAGTCTTTTTGTAGCCAAATGGAAGGAAGGAAGGAAGGAAGGAAGGAAGGAAGGAAGGAAGGAAGGAAGGAAGGAAGGAAGGAAGGAAGGAAGGTGGGTTGCAGAGCAGAGACAGTGCATGCTAGAGGGCTCTCGGAGCAGAGGGATGGAAGGGGGAGCATGGGCAGGACAGAGTAGGGTGTTAGCACTGAAGGGAGGAAGCTCAGCTACCTGGTCAACGGCACAGACAGCCCTGCAGGAAGCACTGAGTTAAGGCATTGATTGAGCTGTGCATTGGAAAGGCTGTCTGGAGTCACCAGGAATACACCCAGGCTCCCAGAGGTTTCCAGATGTCTCTCTGATTTTCAAAGCCATAGCATCTGTAGAGAGCTTGAGATCTTGGAGATGAGAAGTTAACAAACCCCAATGGCTATCCAGAAACTTTAGTTTGGTGTGTTTGTTTATTTGCTGTTACTTGGTTTTGTTTTGTTTTTGAGACAAGGTCTCTCTACATATCCCTGGCTGTCCTAGAACCTACTATGTAGACAAGGCTGGCCTCAGACTCACATTCACCTGTCTCTGCCAGTGCTGGGATTAAAGGTGTGAGCTACCCCACCTGGCAACTTGGGAGTTTTTGACATTGTTCTCAGAACTGCACACAGTCTGAGGACAAGAGCAAGAAGAGAAACCATGGGACCCAGGAAGGGACCCTGGGAGCCAAGCCAGTGCTGAGAAATGGGTCAAGCAGAACAGAGCATTCCATGCACCAGGGGTGGCTTTACATACCCCCTTCATCATGATTCCTAAAGGACATAAGTCACCAAACTCCACAGGGAGAAGTCCAAAGTTCTGAAAGGACGACACACCTAGGTGACATAGGGACAAAACCAAGATTCAAACTCAGGTTTGGTTGCCTTAGAAACGCATATCCATTGTATTGCCTGACTCAGGGCTGCATTTTGTGACCTGCACTTGGGGTGCGGCTTTCCATGGCTGGAGCAGAGGCCAGGGAGGAAGGGAGAATACAGGGGAAACGGCTCTGTCCAAAAGACTTGCTCCCTCCACTTACCCAACCTGATACCAGTCTGAGAAAGAAGGTTGCATGGATGCTGGAGGATGCAGGCCCAGTATGCACTGCAGGATGACCGCGATGACTGGTTTCACGAATGAATTCAGCAGACGCACAGGCAGAAGTTGGCAGCAGTGGACAGTGCTAGGGTTCTGACAGTCCAGTCTTCAGACAAGTTGCTCCAGCTCTCTGAGTCTTGGTTTCCTCACTTGCAATTGCAAAAGAGGAATAATGACACCACATAGGGTTTTGCTGAGTTTTCTGTTGTTTTGTTGGGTTTCAGGGTTGTTTGGGTTGGGTTTTTTTGGGGGGGGGGTGATTTTTGCAGTACTGGGGCCTAGGGCCTGATGGATGGAAGGCAATTGTTCCACCAGCGAGTTACAAACCGGGATTTCATAAAGGGAATTTGAGGTGCCTGCTAGGTGCTTAGCACAATGCTGGCAACCAGAGGAAACACACAGCCCATCTTAGGTCACGCTTGCCATTTTTATCACTATTATTTATCATTATTATTATGGGAAGTTGTGCTTCAGTTGCTTAATGAACACCAGGAAAAAAAAATGATTCCATTCCCAAAGCTGGCCCCACACCAACGGCAGGGTGACCAAAAGGGTTTATTTTCTCCTTGTTTTACCAGGGGGAAAAAAAGTGTAAAGAGAGATTTTCCTGAATCTCAAAGTTCTAGTGATCCTGGGCTCACCAGCTCTCCCCTGGGATCAAGGAAGGCACTAGAGGGGCCCCCTGCAGAGAAGGAGCTGAGTGATCTGGCTTGCGTCCAGCGGGTGGAGCCCGAGAGCCCAGGGCTGCCTGGCGGAGGGTGGATGAGAAGAATCAGCACATCAGCCGGTGTGCAGGGAGACCCTCTTGGAGCAGGAAGATTTTTTTCCCTAATTCTTTGTCCAGAGCGGTGCCCCCCGACCTTACTATATTTCTGCCATAGTGGAACAAGCCACAAAACAGAAGTCGAAGAATGGGAAGAAATGGACTTTTCGTTTCAGTGTTAAATTCTGCTGTGGCCGCTTGTCTGCTAACATTTTAAAGGCTGTGCAGTGCATCCAGGGCATATCACTCAAAAGAAAGACAACCAGGGAAGCTTTTGAGTGTTTGTTTGGGTTTTTGTTTGTTTGGTTGGTTTTTTTCTGCACAGGCAACAGGTAACTAGTTTCCAGAAATAACTTGTATTCACCTTGTCTCCCACTGCCGTTGAGCCTTGCTGTCCTTATACCAAGGCAGAAGTGTCAACTCCAACGTATTTCCATCACAAGAGAAGCCACTTCACTCCAAGCCTGCACCCTGTGGCTTGCTGTTTAAATGGCACTATGTGGACCCCTTTTGGTTACAAATCATCCCAGAAACATTTCAAGGTAGGGGTAGGAAATGGCTTGGAAGAGAACAAGTGAATTTGAGCTTGGTTATCACTAAAGACCCTGGGATGCTCTGGAAACATCACAGAACTGTTGGCACCATGTCAGGAGAAGGGAAAGAAGGGGAGAGACCCGAGGCACTGAAGCCAGCCATCCCCCACCCCGCCTCACCCCGCCCCACCCCCACCCTGTGTTGTTCTGGCTTTGGTGGCTTAAGTGGGAGGGGACAGCCAGTTACTTCACAGACCTGAAGAGCAGACTGTGGGTATAAAAGGGTGAGGTGCCTCTCCTGCACCACCTCTCCCTTCAAGAGAGCCTGGCCACTCTTTATCAGGCGCTGCCTTCTGCCAGCGGGAAGCCAGCTGGAGGGTAAGTACTCCAACTCACTTCTGTTAATTCCAGTTATTCCTGTTGGAGCTTGTCTTAGTCCTCTTTAATTTTTTTAAAGACAGAAGACAGGTTTGAACTTAGATGTGTCTAACTCCCGGGACTATACTTTCTATTACTGTTGTTGTTGTTGTTGTTGTTGTTTTATTTTTATTATTATATTTTAATGAAACAAGTTAGTGGACTTCACTGCAACATTTATATACATGTATAGACTGTATCTTGATCATGCTTGCTGTCCTCTCTGTCCTCTCTTGCCCTCTCTTACCCTCCTGCCTTTCCTTCTCCAACTCTTTTCTCTTTTAGATGGTGACATGTGTTGGAATTGAATAGATGGTGTTCTGGTAGACTAGAAGGCAATTCCCCAAACCCACACAGTCCTCTTCCCAGAAGCTTAAAGGTTATGCCGCTGTTATGATTCCTGGGAGGATGGAAGCTGCCCTGGGCTGTTGTGGGCGTCCACTCTGTATACTAAACAGTCCGGACTAAACAACATGATAAGTTTCTTCAGACTGTGCTCTTGAAAAAAAAAACAAGTAAAATTGGCGACAGCGTTTTTATGACTCACCAGAAAATATGGGGTACTGGGAGCAGCCCTTCCCAGTCATGGGCTTAGGGTTCTTCTGCATGTGCTGTCCTGCTGACAGGAGGGTACTTCTGTGCCCATCGGGAACTCCATCAGTAGCCAGAGGTTTGGTGGCTTCCTGCAGTGAATGCTCTGTCCCCACACTGTTCAAGGCTCCGAGGAGTGGTGTCTGTTGTGGAGGCAGAAATACCTGACAGGGGTTCTTTCTTTCTGATAACAGTTCTAAGGGGAACTGAGCAGTTCCTGCCATTGTGATCAGAAACGACCTAAAACAAAGATTAGACAAAGCAGCAAGTAGCTGTCAGTGCAGGCAGCCCTTTTGCCATGACAGAACACAAAAACTTTTCAAACTCCGGTCTACACTTGGTATAATTTGAAGCAATACTTGAGGCAAGGAAAACTGGGGGCTTTCAGGCCTCTCCCATTGCACCAATTACCAATACATGCCTCCACACAATGAGTTTCATTGTGTGTATAAGAAAACAGGGAAGACAGTTTGAAGTGAGACCTCCACATTTGTCTCAGATTAAATACTGAGCACTGCCTCGTTCCACTGGTGCCAGCAGGTTCACCATGTACAGCTTCCAGAATATACTTGAAGGCTAACTCATAGCCTTGTCAGGAATGCACCAGAGGCGCTGGCTTTGAGGAATCACTGGTAATATTTTTAAGAGACAGTAATTGATCCCAGAGAGGGCTCAGAGCCCTTTCTTTTTCGGTGTTTGACCCGGTGCCCCAGAGTTACTTCAAGGTGACTGTGGCCTGCCGCCCACCTCACGCCCTACCATACAGAAGTCGCTACTGCCACTTGTTGGCTTAAGTAAAATCCTGGGTGACACTAACTTGCCTGACCCCAAACCGGAAGGTCTTATGCCTGCATAAATAAGCTGGCTCTGCTTGCCATGGCCGGAGACTTCAGAGCCTCGGTTTTCTATAACATGAAAGTTTCATCCATGAGGTCTCTAAACCCCACCTTGTTCACATTTTGTCCACTTCTGTCTCTAAGAAAATGCTGATGCTGGCCCTGCAGAAACAGTTCTTCAGGTTGTATGTGCCGAGGAAGGCAGATGAGCAGGGGAAGCCGCAGGCACTCATCCTGAGAGATCGTGACCTCTCCCCTGGTGTTTCCTTTCCTTTTGCTTTCAACCCTCTTGTCTTTTATTCTTCTTTCTTTCTTGTTCCCCACTCCTTAGCATATAAGATCCTTGCCAGGGGACTGCTCGCTGTTGCCTTGGACCAACTAAAATTGCTCATGTTGGAAACAACCACAAACATCATGAGTGCTAGCCAGATAGCTTACCATGAGCGCGCGCACGCGCGCGCGCACACACACACACACACACACACACACACACACACACACACACAAACACAAACACACACACCACACACTTACTTTTCCCCACAAGATATATCAGAAATATTTTCCACAACTGTGGATTCTTCAGGTCACTTTGGTAACGTTTCCAGGTCTCAGACCAAGTCAACAGAAGAAAGTGAAAATAAAAAAAAAATGAAAGAGGAAGAGACAAATATCATACACAGGACATTCTAGAACTTCTGGGTAAAGAACTATCTTTGGACGAAATGGAAAGGAAGGAGGAAGTGGGAGGGAAGGAGAATGAGGAGGAAAGGAGGGAAGAAAGAGGAAATTATTCAAATCTGACATTCTTGTTAAATTCAACTAAGACTTGTTCCTTGCTAACCAACTGGTGGTCGATGTTTAGTAATTATTACTCACATGTATGAGAAGTGGCACTTATCAGCATTTGAGAATGACATGGAATGTGAGTGCTGCACATGGGAAGTGTGACTAGTGTTTTACTGCAGGAAGCAGAACCCAGAGCTCTCTTTTCTCCCATTTCACGCGGAGTAAGGCTGAGACGTTGCTTGCCTCAGAGCTGGTCCCCAACACAGAGCATAACAGCTTGCCCAAGCACTCCAGAGCCTAAAGCCACCCTCCCTTGCTGTGGCAGGTTTCAGATGGGCTACCTACCCTCCTGCCAGCCAAAGACAGAGCAGGAGTTCCATTCCCTTCCTGCTCTGTTCGGCATCGCTCGCCACCATTTCTGAAGTAAACCAAGTTTCACCTTCACAGTCAGTGTGTCCTCTTTCCTCCCTCCTATTGCAAGCTCCTTGATGAGTAGAGACCTCTGCTCTAGGGGGCCAGGGCAGAGAATATTTTCCCTTCGCAGAAACTCACAAGGGCCTGCCCGTCTCCTCCAGTCTAGCTTTCCCTGTGCTCCCCAGAGCCAGGACACAACCGGCTGATTCACATCTCTTTGGAGAACTAGGAAGGATGAGTGAACAGTCTTTGATTGGTGGCACTGATGACGCCTATCACAGTCCTCTTTGGATAGACCCTTTTGGAAATAAAGCCGGTGAGGCAGCACCAGGAAGCTTCAGGTGGCAAGAACAGGTAGGCTCCCTTCCAGCAGTATCTTCCTTGGGGAACCCAAGAGCCTGCTCCAGTTTGACATCTTTTCTGAGCTCAGGCTGGGGCGTGGGTGTTCAGCAAGCTCTCCTGAGCTCAGTGCTGTGGCCTAGCTACCCCTGCAGGCTTAGAGGCTGGACCACTGAGTTAGGGCATTTGAACAACCTTGGAAACCCCAGGAAAACACAGCCTGGAGCTTTATGGTTCTCCTGCTTGTGTTAGGTTAAGATCTTCTCCATTGCCCTCTCCTCTCCATGGAAGCACAATGCGTGAGCAGAGTGTGAACATCAGCTAGAACGCTGCTCTCCTGGGTACTGCATCCAAGTTCCCAAAAGAGACACAAGTTTTCTAGCATGATAATATCCTAGAGTGAGCTAGACTTAAACTACTGATTTCTCCTAATGAGCTCTCATGCTGGAGTTCTGGAGCTATGCGGAGATCAGCAGTCCAGAATAAATGACTCCAGGGGCTTCTGGGATGTAGCCAGTGTCTGCTCAGTCAGGAGAGACCCTTCTCTGAGGTGTGGAATAGTAGGGAAGGACATTACAGCCCTCCAGTGCATCCTGGCATATAAGTATTGGAGACACAGCTCTAGGTCGGGCTGTGGCATTGGACAAAAGTAGTTTAGTCTTAACTTGGGGTGGTTCTGCAGGGGACACAGGCTGTTCAGGTTCCTAGTCACATCCGGCCAGTTACACTATCAGGTTTCGAATCTCTGGGGTGTTGTGGTATTCGAAACTCTCTAAAGCAAATACAGGCTGGAGGTTTTGTGTTTTCTGGAGTTGATTTCTGTGGCGGATGGAAACCTCCACTTTCAGGGCTTGACACATTCAGTTACAGCAACTCAGCACTGTTGTCCTTTGAGCTTCTCCTTGTCATGGCCAAGACGGAAGCCTGATGCCTCTTGTAACTTCGTATGACTTTGACAATGGGTCACTGTCACTGAGGAAGGGTCTAACCATGCAATATTTTCAATTATGAGACTTAAAATGGGAGAGATCTGAAAAAAGTCATAGCCATTGCTTAGATTATGAAATTAAAGAAAAATTTTCATAAATGTTGGGTTACTTAAACACATTTGTGGATTTTAAGTGTAAAACAGAGTTACATGGACTTAGTTTAGATTCTATATGACTCCAGCAGTTTTCAGTGTAAAAAATTCCCAAATCAAACATTCATTGAAAGATTCACAAATGTTGGTGTCAGATCAAATGTTGCCAAGGCAGAATGACCTTGGTCTGGAATGCATTGCTGAGCTGGTTCCAACTTTGTATGATGATTAATGGTGTACCATTGTTTAAAAAAAAAAACAGGAAGATAGCCAGGCATGGTGGAACTTACCTGTCATCCCAGCATTTGTATAGCAAGTTCAAGGCCAGCTTAAGCTATAGTGAGAAGTAAAATTGGTACACAGTAATAAATCAGTAATAAAACATTGATTCCTGTACTGGAATTAATGTAAGTAAAAAACTAGAGTCCAGATTTTTTAAAAAGACATAATTTGATTAGCTGTTAATGGCTGTCTGTTTAATGTGGCAAATGGAGCAATGATGGGACCAGCATGAGCCAGAGGAACTCTGTTCATCCCTTGCTGTGAGGAGAGATGGGCTGGCTTATCAGTGCAGCTTTGGGCATTCCCTTGGTCTTGTCTGTCGCGGCTAAGACTTCCACTGAAGCCTTTTAAGGTGCATGGGGCCGCCCCACCTCCTGTGTACCCTTCTGTGCTCTTTGCTTTTTCATACAAGCAGGGTGATTCGGCTGTTGTCTTTCCCCCAGCGTCTACCTGTATGTCACTGGTAGTTCTCACATTGGTAGTGGGCACCGGGAATCCTTCATGCTGTGCCTCCAGGGTACCAAATTCAGTGATGTTGGTTCCCTCTTGTAATATACTTAGTATGAGAATTAGATAACGCTGTGGTCAACACACATTATGCTCCTAGTGTTTTTATTCTGAAAAGATATTATATGATAATAAACCCTGTACTTTCTTATATCATGCAATTTTTACATCACAGTCACTGGCTTTTGACAGTGTTGTCCATTTCCACCTTCCTAAGTTGCTATACCAGTGGTTCTCAGCCTTCCTAACGTTGCGACCCTTTGATGCAGTTCCTCATGTTATGGTGACCCCCCAACCATAAAACTATTTCCATTGCTACTTCAGAACTGTAATTTTGCTACTGATATGAATCATAATATAAATATCCTTGTTTTCTGATGGTCTTAGACCACTCCTGTAAAAGAATAGTTCATCCCCTCCTAAAGGGGCCTTAACCCCCAGGTTGAAAACCACTATTCTACACCTTTGTGGTTTATCTTTCTTATGTTTTTATGCATTTATATGACAAATTCCAAATTACAGACTATCTGAGGCAACTGCAAGATAGAAGAATGCATTCAAGCAAGCTTATTCTTGAAGACTGGGGACAGGGGCTTCTTAGGCTGTGTCAACACACACAGACTGTTTTAATTTTTTATTTACCTTTTCAAAGAATTCTTAAAATCAGTAGTTTGTTTTATATGTTGGTGTTTCATTTTTCTGGAACAGAATCTCATGTAACCCAGCCTATGCTTGAACTATTACGTTGCTGAAGATGGCCTTGAACTCCTGGTCCTCCTGCCTCCAACTCTCAAGTGCTAAGATTACAGGTGTGTGCTACCACCCCTGCTTATAGCTGTTATTTTGTAAAAAAAAAAAAAAAAAGCAAATTTTAAAGTTACTATATTTCTGTATTATTTGACTTGTTATGTTGACAGTATCTGTTTTTCTTTCTTCTCAATACCATTAAGTCCCCTGAGTGCAGAAAATGGTGGTTCAACAAATACTTGTTGAGCTAGAAACCAAGCCTTCTGAGGGCATTGACAAGAACCTTCTCATGATAGCATTAAATTCATCAAGTAAAAGGCTGATGTTTGGGTTTGGATAATGAGTTCTTCAATGACAGTCCAGGAAGGAAGAGCAAATTCTCAGACCCATGACACTGTCCAAACCCATCTTCTATGGCAACTTGCACAGCCTAAGCTAGCCAACTCACAGAGTTCTTATCCAGGATGTTTACAAACTCTGTCCTTCCTTCAAGGAGTCAGAGGAAGAGATGGCCTTGGAAGACAGTCCCACCATGGTTAAAGTAGACCGGGGTGAAAACCAGATCTCATCATGTCGGGGGAGACGGTGTGGCTTCAAAGTGCTTGGCTATATCACTGGTGATATGAAAGAATTTTCCAGCTGGCTCAAAGGTATCTAGACATTCACTCCTTGGAGAGACGGGAGAAGCAGCTTTGAGGAAATCCTTTGTCTGTGTTTCTACCTGTGGCATCTTTAGCTCTATTCACCAGCCATCACTTCCTAGTTTGCTGTTTTGCATCTTCTAACTTAAAAGCCATTTCACACTTTTTTTCATGGATACAGTGAGGAGTTTTCATCTTACAATCTCAGTATGTAACAAACAAAATGCTCTGCCAATATTCGTTTCTTTGCCTTAGTCTGTGCCTCTGAGCATGGCAAATGGGAGCCTTCGCTGCTTTCTGAAGCTTGGGTTCCAGTAGGGACAGGGCGGACTGACTGTAAACAAACCAAGGGGCCAAATGGAGGCTTCAAAAAATAGCCAAAACTTTCAGCTCCTGCTGGTGGCTTTGTTCAGAGTAACCTTGGGTTACCTCGTCTCTTCCTTACCTCTGCTCATCTTACCTCTCCAGATAAGCCTGTGGCACTCCAGTTTGTGGACTGGATCCTTCGGGGCATATCCCAGGTGGTGTTTGTCAGCAATCCCATCAGTGGAATCCTGATTCTGGTGGGTCTTCTGGTCCAGAACCCCTGGTGGGCTCTCTGTGGCTGTGTAGGAACTGTGGTCTCCACTCTGACGGCCCTCTTGCTGAGCCAAGACAGGTAGGCAAGCCATCATATGCCAGTTCCCTCTCTTCCTGAGCCACTAGCTGGGCAGCTACCATGGGCAGCCATAATAAAGTCACACCCTCCCAGGTTATCCCACAGAACTCTCTGTTTGCCTTTCGTCAGAGGCCAGAGGATCACAGATCGTCTTTTAGCCTTCTCATCTGAATAAGGGACCAGTCTGGGTATTACTGGCTGTGTATGGTAGCCAGAATTCGTCTGTCACCAGGAAAAAGCCTGCTGAAGTCTCCTTTAGTGATGCAATTATTTATTACAACTTTAAACAAAATGCTTCTGCGTTCCTGAAAAGACAATGGCTTACCAGCCCCCTTTGTGTGCTGTGTCCTTCTCTAGTTTAGCGTAGTTCTCTCCTTTCGTGGGCAGTGAAAATACCAGCTCAGCTCCTGGGCTCATGAAAAGCCACACATCCCAGGATTTGTCCCCCATTGTTTTCACTGCAGTGAAACCTGATGTGGGCTGGGCACACAGTTCAGTGGTAGAGCACCTGTCTAGCATGAACAATGCCCTACATTTCATCCCTGGTACTGGGGAGAGGGGGAACACCCTCATTTCCTCGGTAACTAGTTGTTAGAAGACAAGTCTTACTTTTAGATTTTACATGTGCTTCCTTTCCTTAGTTCTAAAACAAATCAAAAGGACAACGGCATTTAGGTGGCTGAGTCTTCCTGGGGCTGGCACTGTGGCATCTCTCGACTTGTAGATGTTGCCATCCCTTGTCCACTGATGAACGTTGAGGGTGGCCCAGTCCACAGAGCTCTCCTCTGTCCTCATGCATAACTCCAGTTTCTGGAGGATTGCTGAAGAAAGACAAAGGACTTTGAAACTAGAGTCCAACTTCTGCCATCCTCGCCGCAATGATGAATAGATATGAAACCAGCCTGTTGGTTGCACTGGCACACCTTTGTGCACAGTCAGATAAAAGCCGAAACTCTCACACCCGCTGCAGTGTAGCTCACTGGCTGCAGCCCCTCCCCCACAGGCCCTGCATTTGACCTAACTTCACCACATTTGCCCCCTAGGTCCCCAAGGCCATTATCTCTGAGGGACAGGCTGGAAATGGACCCCATTGTCTTTCACAATGCTGTTCATCTCCAACTCAGAGCTTGCCAGACTAGGGGCTTATTCTGTGGAAATATTCCCATTGCTTTCTTGTAGCTTCTACTTCCTGATTATGACACAGGTTCCATTACTGCCAGAGTAGAAGGTGACATATAAGACAGTCTTTGAAAGTGACATTAAATGCCAATCACAGAGTGGGTGTATCAGTCAGGGTTCTCTAGAACTGAGCTGAATAGTTTACCATCACAGAGAGGCTTCAATGAGAAGAGCTAAGTGTGCACATAATTAAATAGATGCCTGGGCAAGTACAAGCAATCATTTTTATCTGCAATAACCTGGAGATGTACACTTCGAGTCCCCAAAGCAGAATCCCGAGAACATGAAAATGTCCGCTAAGTTGAAGTTGGATGTGTCTAAAGAACCATGAAAGGACTTGCCTTCCAGGAATCATATGTCTCTCCCTGAAAATTCCGACTTAATACTGTTTCAAATGCTGAAAGCCCTGTTCAAGTCAAGGTCCTCAATCGTTTATAATAAATAAGAATTTTCTCAGGAAGGGAACAAAGAGCAGATTCCCTTGCCCAGGCCCCTCTCCTCCACCAAATGCCATCCTTCTGTGGCTTGTGACATACGCTGAAGGGCATTGTTCTGTGCACACACGTCAGAGTTTCATCTACATAGATCTCACTGCACTAGTTAGTTGTATCTGTATGATTCATAAAAGGCTTTGGAACACATACCCAAGTATGAGTATGTTTTCTAAAGTTATGAGTATTGTTTACATTTGATCCTAACTACATCCACTCAGGCGATGCCTGTGCTATCCCTCATGCCTGCAGGTCAGCAATAGCAGCCGGGCTCCAGGGCTACAATGCCACCCTTGTGGGGTTACTCATGGCTGTCTTCTCAGACAAGGGCGACTATTTCTGGTGGCTGATACTCCCTGTGTCTGCTATGTCTATGACTTGGTAAGTTGTACCTGGTTTACAAAATGCCTGTGGAGGGTAGAGGGAATGAGCACACGTTTGTAAGGTGACAACGACTCTGTGAGTCAATGGTAGTTTATAACACTGTGAATATATCACTGAACTTTACACTTTAGTTAAATGGGGCCAGCAAATTGGTATATCGGACAAAGATATTTGTAGCCAAGGATAACAGCCTGAGGTTAATCCCAGGAACCAAAAGGTAGAAGGAGAGAACTGACTCCCCAGTCTTCCTTTGATCTCCACACATGCCTCTCCATGCATGTACACCCACCCACACAAACACAAATTAAATGTAAAATAAAATGAAAATAGTTAAGCGGTACCAGCTATGGTGGCTCATACCTATAATCCCTGCATTTTGGAGGCTAAGTGAGATGGACTGCTTCTTTTTTTTTATGGTTTTTCAAGACAGGGTTTCTCTGTATTGTTTTGGAGGCTGTCCTGGAACTCGCTCTGTAGACCAGGCTGGCCTCAAACTCACAGAGATCCACCTGCCTCTGCCTACACAGTGCTGGGATTAAAGGCATGTGCCACCAATGCCCGGTTTTGAATATAAGGTCAGCCTAGACTTATAGTGAGTTCCAAGCTAATTGTCTAGAGAGGCTATTGGGGCAGGAGGAGGCAAAACAGCATAATAATAAATGGCAATTTTTATGTGTCTTTTACCACAAATTTAAAAAATACTTAAAAGAATTAGAAATAGGCTATATCTTTGTCTATAGAAACTAAAGCAATCACCTTAAGAGGTGCAGGTTTTCTTACAACCAGCTGTTTGTCCCTATGTCAAACTCAGCTGCATGCATGTCCCCTTCATCCAGGCATTTTAAGCCTCAGCTACACACACACTGCTCTGTGCTGTTGCCTAGAAGTCAAGGTTTCTAAGTCCCCCACATGTGATTCTAAAGTATCACCCTACCAGTGCAATCACCTTTCAGACTTAACAGAGATGGCCACCTCCCTTTCTTATTCTTTCTAAATTCAATACCATATTTAAATATTTAAATCTAGCTTCTGTGCTGACATCATAATTCCATTTTCTGGAAACAAATTCATCTTTCTCTATCATATCTAAAGTATAAAATACTAACATGCTCACAGAGGGAACCCAAGGAGCCCACTATGGGCACTGCCTGCAGGAGGGCTCCACCCTGGTTGCACCCATAGGTGTATAGAGGCCCTGCACATAGTAACAGCCTCCCCTAGGAGGTTGGGAGCTGTTCTGAAGGATTTTCTCAAGGACAGGAACCATGGCCCTCTGGTGATCTACACTCACCCAAGTAGGGGATCTGCTGTGATCTTCCAAGGATGCTTCTCCATTGTGTCAACAAGCAAGGGTGACGCAAGGGCCCAGAGAATTATCTACACCAAAGGTTCTCAACCTTCCTAATGCCGTGACTGTAATTTTTCCACTATTATGAATCAGAATGTAAATATCATAAATGTCTGACATGCAAGATATCTGACAGTTGACCCCTGTAAAAGGGTTGTTCAGCCCCTACAGGGGTCATGATCTACAGGTTAAGGACCACCGAGCTACACCATCTAAAGAAAGCCTACAATTGCACACCATGAAATGAGAACATGACTGTGTGTGAAATCTACCAATAACTCAAGTTTACCAATAGCCCACTCCTGTAAGACCCCTTTTTAACAGCCCCAACCACCCAAATAATTAGTCTTTTCTTTTCTTCAAAATAGATACCTATATAGAAGGCATGCAGAGTGCTATTTTCCAAACTCAGGACGGTGGTGACTCTGTTATGGAGGAAGGACCCCAGGATCATAAGACACTAACTATGCATATAAGACTTCACTTTTTTAGAGCTCCAAACTTGTTTTTAAACATTGATTATAACTCACTCTGAACCACCTTGGGTTTGTTGTTTTTTTTTCCAAAAGTTAACCAAGAGTCCATTTTGTGGTGTGTTTTAGAGTTGTTTTCTTTGTCATGGGATTGATCCCAGGTCACCAACCCCCCCCCCACACACCCCACTCCTACCCACTGTGGAAGGTTTGTCAGCACAATACCTCAGAGAAAGTTAGCTGCTGCAGCGGACTCCCTCCCCTCGTGGAGAGGCTGGGGGCTCAGCCTGGTTGCTTGTCACTGATTCTCATTCCTCTGTATGTTTCTTTAGCCCAGTTTTCTCAAGTGCATTGAACTCCGTGTTCAGCAAATGGGACCTCCCTGTCTTCACTCTCCCTTTCAACATGGCGTTGTCGATGTACATTTCAGCCACAGGACATTACAATCCGTTCTTTCCAAGTAAACTCTTCACACCTGTCACCTCCGTGCCCAATATCACATGGTCTGAGCTCAACGCCCTGGAGGTAAAATATCAACTTTTTTCCCCTAAAAATCTGTAGTGATAGTTCCTGAGGACAGTTCATTGGAGATCAGACACTGGGGGAAGTTTAGCCCTTGTTTGAGTAACTGAGACAAAGCAGGTAGCTGCTCATTTGGGTAGAGTGTTCATGATCAGTGTCCCCAGTCACAACTGTTATACTTTGGGGTTCTGTAAAACTGGCTACAAAGGGTTCTCAAGGTACAGTGGAGCCTGGGAATGGGTATCAACAAGCTCCTCTAAACTGTGCTGGTGGGCAGAGCTTGAGATCCGCTGAGTCACAGGGTGTGGATATGGTGTACCTCCTTACAGATAGGCACAGGCTTTCAGAAACCTGCATCTCCCAAGCTGAATTCCAGCTCTTGCCACTCGTCCCCGGCCCCCTCCCCTCCGTGTGTGTGTGTGTGTGTGTGTGTGTGTGTGTGTGTGTGTGTGTGTGTGTGTGTGTGTACAGACTGTAATAGAGCCTCATACATGCCAGGCAATCACTGTACCACTGAGCTGCATCTCAGCACCTTGCTTAATGTTTTTAATTTCTGATGAGACTAAGAAGATACTTGAAATTAAAGAAAACAAAAGAGGCCTTACTGGTTTTGGTTTTGTTTTAATATGTGAAAGATTGGCTCTATGCCCGTTTGCCATCCTCTCTGCTCAGTGAGGAAAACATGGGAAACATTTACATAGCCTTTCCTTTATCTTTGACCCAGTAAGCAAACAGGAGCACTTGGAACTAGGCCAAAATGAAAAGCAACTACTAATGAAAAGTAACATTGTAAAATTGTATCACTCTCTCGACTACATTGTCTCATCCGATAGCCATTAGCCCGATGGGGTTATTTAAATTTAGATGTAAATGCATTCACAAATGAATTTCTCAGCTTCACCTGCCACAGCTCAGATGCTCAGGAACTAGGTGGGGCTAGTACCTGCTGGATTGGATAACTCAGACAGGAACTACCAACTTGAAGGTTCTGGAGGCCTGTTGACCTCTTCCCATTCAGAACTTGTTTATAGCTCACTCAACTTTCCCACCCTTGGCTACCCAAGGGATACCTAGGATACGGAGTTCAGAGATAAAAGTCTCATCAATCTTTCTTTACCTGTGTGAAGTTCCCAGTCTAGAAAGATGGGAGATGACTGTGTAAACAAGATTGGGTACAGAAAGCATTTAGGGACTATCTTAAGGGAGACTGAATCTCAGTGAGATCCAGTGCAATGAACAAAGGCCAAGTTAATGTTTGGAAGCCCAAGGTGGGGTTTCCCCTGCCAGGCAGAGTCATCGTTTCTAGGTCCTTACCAAAAGACATTTGAGAAAGTGGAGAGGCCATCATCTTTTAGGAAATGTTTTGCTCAAAGGGAGAAGCCATAAGTAATTATGTTTTCCCGGCCAAACCAAAAGATTTATTACATGGAAATATTATTTGTTTGAGCCAAATCCTGTGCCCTCCTGAGAACTGCTACTCTGTAAACATTCCAGGTAGACTCGGGCCTGTGTCAGAAAACAGAATTGTGAAGTTTGTGTTTTCACATCTTGAGATCTGATAGACAGGTGTTAATAACTAAGATAAGCCAAAGACATTTTTACTAAATTATGTTCCACTCAGTGTCAGAAGGGCAGATGTGGTCCTGATTCATCAAGTTGGCTACAATTGCTTCTAAATTATGGATGAGCTAATCTTAGTTCACTGGCCTTTTAGTGTGGGCAGCCAACTCAGTTGGAATAGCATTTCTACAGACTATGGAACAGTATTGACTCTCTGCCAGCACTGATGGACAGCAGGAAGCAACTTGACCATGACCTGTGTCCCTGCCACACTAGGGAAGGTAAAGCAGGTCATTAGAACCAGGAGTCATGAGACCACACTGGCAGCCTCACGGTAGTGGGAAAGTTAGTGAGAAAATGAGGTTTGTAAAAGTCATGCCCAGCATGCACCTGTCAAAAGAGAGAGCCAAAGAACAGATGAGAGTTTTTTCCTGTATTAATAAAACATTGCACTGATCTTGAAGGATAAAATATTCTAATTCTAAAAATCATATAAGATTGCAGTGTCCTTGGTCTTCTTGTCTGTTGTCCGAGTGGCTACAATTTTTTTTACTTTTTATTGCAGCTATTGAAGTCTCTTCCAGTGGGAGTTGGTCAGATCTATGGTTGTGACAACCCATGGACAGGGGGCATTTTCCTATGTGCCATTCTTCTTTCCTCTCCACTCATGTGCCTACATGCTGCTATTGGATCATTGCTGGGTGTTATCGCAGGTGAGCAACAGTCTTGCAGCCTAACACAAGCATCTTCATCCCATGCATGTCACAGGCATCTTTTATACTGCAGAGCTTTCTCGAGGTCTCTGAGCAAGGGAGGCTATTGGGATATTTCCCTGGACCCCACAACTCATTGCAGAGCATCATGCTCTTTGCCTCAAGCTCTGACTACTCTTGGTTTTTGCCTCACAGGACTCAGTCTTGCAGCTCCGTTTGAAGACATCTATGCTGGGCTCTGGGGTTTCAACAGTTCTCTCGCCTGCATTGCAATTGGGGGCATGTTCATGGCACTCACCTGGCAGACCCACCTCCTGGCTCTGGCCTGTGGTGAGTATCCTACATATGGTGTGGGTGCCCATATGTAGGGGGTGCCCATGAGGGCTCGATTAAAATCATGGGCAAGCACTAAACAATTACTCAAAACATTTAAAAGGATCATATAAGAATTTGAAACGGGAATTGGCGTTTGAGTTTTCACTAGCTAACAGGACAAGTGATGTTCTCCCTCTGGGAGAATTAAAGTCATTTTTATCTGCCACACTGGTTATTGTGAAGGAAGAGCCTGTGCAGTCCTAGAAGCCATTCTGTTCAATATATATTTGAGGGAATAGGTCCATGACCTGTACTCTGATTGTGTGTGTGTGTGTGTGTTTGTTGTAATGCACCCCAAACTAAAATATAATTTGAGCTAAATATAAAAGCTATGTTGTTTGATGAACCAGGTAGGGTTTCATTCAGTCCTTTGAGAGGCCCCTTAATCAGCTGGCTTCAGACCTGAGCACGCTCACCAGAATCACCTGCACTCTTGGTGAATACACAGACTGCTGGATACGCCTCTGACATAGTTAGAGGCAGAGGGAGAAACCTGTACCTCTGACGGGGGGTCTAGAGACTACAGGCTAAGAACTGATTTGTTAGCCCTTCATGATTCCCAGTAGATCCTGCCTTCAGAGCTAGAGTAGAGTCCAGCTCCATCCTTCTCATTGAACTTGGGTCACGGAAGTGTTAAAGCACATTAAGCCCAGGAGGACTAAATCCAAACCTAGACACTACATCTGCCAATGTGCCCCACAGATGTTCCCACTACCCTGGGCTGCTTCTCAGCTGTAGCTTTCAGACCCTGTGTGAGCTCCTTAAAGTAAGGTAGACTCAAAGCTGGTGGGTTCCTCAATCTGATGATGAGGGACAGACGTTTACCCATAACCTGTGTCATCCCTAGTTCATTACAAGTAAAAACATTAAAAATAGTCCCAGAGTGGAAGAGTGACAGCCTAGGGGACAAAAAGGTAAAGGGATCACAGGTTGTAGAGAAATTGTTTCTAGCCTGATGTAGCATGTGTCTAAAGTCATTTTATCACAGACCATCCAACCTCAGCTATCTGTCTGTTTGCTAACCGGCAGAGCATGTGCGAGGCAGGATCTGGAGAGGAGGAGGTGAGAGGAGACGGAGGGTTTCATAGGCACTGCTCAGTTTGGGTTTATGCTGTGGCGAAGCTAACAGATCTCAAGCAGCTGTGCGCTGTTTAGATGTCATTTTGTCACTTTGTAGTGACTCAGCTGAGCTCTGTCAATATTTGTTCCTCTATTCTTTATTTGTTCTCAAGTTCAGAGCAAAGCAGGCAGGGCTAGGGGCCAGATTCTGTAGCTTAGCTGGGACAGCGTCTCTCATCCTCCCGGCCCCCAGTTTTGTTCTGAGATTGCTTTCACACCTTTATCAGGAGTGCAGACTTTATGTTTCTGTGTGTGTGGTCACAACAAATGCATTAAATGTCTTTAGATATTCATGATGCAGCCTGGATGGATACTAGAAAGCTTTGGTGTCCCTGTGATTCCTGAGCAAAGAGAACTGCAGTAGTAGAGGCAGGAAACTGGTGATTTAGGGGAGGGGGGATCCTGAGGGAGGCTCTCAGGGTTTGGACTAGAACAAGAAAAACATCTGTAGTCCAGGATCTGGTGGTGGGGCAATTGGAGTTAGAGTTATCAGGGAGTGCTGCCTGGAGAAGGTGGCTTTTCTGTGAGCCCTAGCACAGGAGTGGAGTCCATTTAGTGGGAAAGATGGTGTTGGTGGCATGGCAACAGCCCAAGTCAGGCAGAAAGATTTTGACCACATGAAATGTGGATTTGGGGGCTGGAAGGACAGCTCAGCTGTTAAAGGCTAGGCTCACAACCAAAAACATAAGAAGAGTAGATTTGGTTCTGGCAGGCTGATGAGAAGGATGACCTTTGCAAATGCTTTCCCTAAAGAGGGATCTTCTCACTATTTTTATTGTAGTAATATACAATTAAATAGTTCAGTCAGTACAAAGTGCAAAGAGGAATAAGGTAAAGGGGAAGCTGTACCATCCTCCTCCCCCGGGCAGCGCTGTAATGCCTTCCACACGCTCCTGGTGATGACCCTGGTCTACTCAGCCTACGCTTGCTAATCTTCCCATTCAAAGTCTTTAACTTAAGCAAGGTTACAGTCCCTATCATAGTCACAGGTTCGGGGGATCAGGATGTGGACCCAGTAGACAGCAATTTCCTACTGGGCCCTAATTCTTGTTAGAGGTAATTCCATTTTGCTCTCTGGACATTTGGAATTTTATCTTTGCATATGAGTTATCTTTCTCTTGCCTGTCTAGATGTGAGCAGGGTTTTCCCCGCCCCCTCTGTTATTATTCACTCGAATCCCTTCAGTGTGAACTCTGCTGTCTTTCTTGAGTTCTGGGATTTTTGTCTGCTTTTAATTTTTCAAATATTCTCTCCAAATATTCCTTTCCTTGTGGGTTAGTTCTGTGAGCTTTTCCATTGCTGTGGACTTTCTTCTTATTTCTCCTCTTTATCCCTTCACAAGAACCTCCAGTTTAGTCAACTGGACCAACTTCTGGCTCCATTCATTACACTGACCTATTGCATTCTTTGCTTCAGGCTTCGTTTAAGCATCAGCTGTGGTGTTTGCTCCACTTGTGTCTGTCTTTCCTGGCATTTGCTCTCCTTGGGTGTCCCCTTTCTTTGCCCCAGGGATTCCAACTGTTTGAGTGACAACTCTCAATGGGTGTTGGAAGCCAGGGCCTTTCTCTTAGTACAGATGAGCCATCAGGAGATCATGGCTCCTCTGGGGATGTAGGGCCTCTGCTGGCTGAGGTAATATGGATGCTTTAGGTAGGACAAGACCGTCGTGCTAGGGGTAGTTACACAGCTTCCAGTTTGGCGCCATTTCAGACACTGCTCCAATGAATGCCTTTGGTATAAATATCCAAATGTGCATTATATTAATATCTCTGTACATGTTTCTGAAATCAAAATTGACGGTTCAAAAGGAATGGCAATTCTAATGTCCACAGATATGGAGTTCATCCCCAGAGAACTCAGTTCCTTCTGAGGCTGATAGTCAACTCCATCCCCACTGCATCCAGCAGACTTTCTAATACCCACACAGGAACTCTTGAGACAGACCTCCAACCTCTCTTGCAAGGCAAGCCTTTTGTGTAAAATGCCACAGCAAGTTTCAGTTTGCCCATGTTGCCCTGCCACTGCCAAACAAAAGGCCCATCTTGTCTGCCAAGGTAAATAAATAGCAGACACTGATTACAGAACTGTTCTTGTCTTCATTCCAGCAAGGATTTGGGAACCTATAACAGCACCTGACAGGGCTGCTTTCCTTACCTGGAGATCAGGAACTGGGCGGTCAAGGAATAGTCTTGTTTGTTATGCTGTCTGTCCATAGAGCACTTTCAGGGCCTTTTCTAATGCAATCAGGGAATCACCTCCACATGGACGGGCACTATGCAGAAACTTCTGTGGTGTAAGCCAGTCCTAGATCTGCACTGCATGTCTTCACGGATGAGCAGCCTACTGTTTGTTAGTCTGACTCTCACTGTAGAGAAAAGAGCAACATGGACTTAGAGATTATTCCAAAGCATATAACAGTACAAAACTCAAGAGTGTCTGAAGCATGCCTTAGAAGCATGTTGGGCCTTTGAAGGATATAAGAGACAATGAGGAAATGAGCAGACCAGAATGCAGCTTGTGCTTAGCAGAGTACCTGGGAATAGAAGGTGAATGATTCAGTTAGATCTTGAAAATTGATGAAAGCAAAGAGGGAAATCCTTCCCAACCAAGCCACGAGCATCCTTCTTCCAAGAGTGGTACCCTAGTACGCTGTTAAGAGGGAAGAGTTCACAGCTACTCTGGGTGGATATAAAATTTCAATTGAGATTCCATTGTCTGCCTCCCTCCAGCAGACCTTAAAGTTCTGAATGGTTAAAAAAAATTGAGTTCATTCATTGTACAGCGAATACAAGAAAGAGCTGGAATCTGAAAGCAGAACTGTTTCTGAATTAGCCCTTATTAGCGTGAGAAACTAAGACATGAGAGGGTTCATTGAACTACTTAAGCAGCGTGGTTCTGGGGATAAAAGATGGAAAAAAAGATAAGTAAATGATGATCAGAGATCCCTCTCATCATTTCTGCCATGCTCCCAAGATAGCTCGTGTGATTGGTAGGTACTGATTGAACAATCGATTGATTTCGTGACCGTCTATCAGTAGCCCAGAAGATGATGTGGTTAATATAGGAAAGTCATTCTTTCATTTTAGAAAACCTGAGGACATTCCAGACCCCTCACCTTGCCCTTAGCCAAGACAAAGAAATTGATGGTTGGTTGTTTGAGCCTTTGTTCCTGTCAAGTAAAAGCCAAAACATGCCATTTGCAGTGGGGCTTTGTTTGTTTGGGGTTTTTTTTATCTGTTTGTTTTTTCTCAAAGTAAATAAAGGTTTCAGAAGCTTATTAATTAACTTGCATGCCCACCTTCAGTGTTTGGAAAGGCATTACATGAAGAGGATCTCAGGGTACACTCTGCTTCTGCCATGCCCCTAGCTGTTTCCTCTTTTTCCAGATTCCATAATTTTGTGCTATAAAATTCAAACACTTAGTATGAGGCTCCTAGATGCAGTGAGACTGTAGAGAATCCAGGCTGTCTCATCTAAATCCAGTCATGTTTATATAAAACAACATGGCAGCTTATTTGCCATGGAAAGATTTTCCCTAAAGTATTGCTACAACAGTAAAAATACAAATCATGCTGCAAGGCTACTTTTGTTGAGTACTTACTGGGTGCTGCATTTGTGTTGTTTCCTTCATGCTCACCCATCCCTGTGAGATTGCTGGTCCTGTTATAGCCAAAGAGACAGAAATGAGAACAAGGAGTTCTGCAGGGATGGACTAGGATCAGAACTCAGCTTCTAAGTCTAAATTCACATTTATAACTAGAGACCTAGGGTGCTGAGCTGTCTAGTAGAAAGCAAAAGTGTACATGCAGTCTAGGGTGCTGATAAAAAGTACATCTACCAAACAGTGTTCTTTTCTCTTTTTGTAGCCCTGTTCACTGCCTACTTCGGAGCCTGTATGACACACCTAATGGCTGTGGTGAGTTCTTTGATCTTGTTTTGTCCACAACATGACTTGTCAGTGATACGGAAATCCACTGATGCCAACCTTAACAGCATCTGGTGACAGGGTCCATGAGGATGTCACCATTGTGCTCCCATATGCTGACTCTCGACTAGTCCCACCCTCTAATATCACAGCAAACTCTAGTCCAAACTACAATCACCAAGCTTGTTACAAATGTCAGATTACTTGGTTTAAAGAATAACTTTAACAATAGCTTTATCAATAACTCAATACCACATTATCATGTTCATAGTCTAACTTGGGTGCTGAGAAGTTGACTTTAGAATATAATTTACTTATTAAGAAAATCAGACCTGTAGAGTAGTTGAGAAATCAGAAAAGATCAGAGATAATTGATTAAAGAAACAGGTGTGATTTAAAACCCAGTCTTTATATAGTCTTCATTGCACTCTGACCCACTCATCAATAAAACTTTTCAGACCTAGGTCCTACTTCTTTATTCCTAGGCAAATCTTTGCTCATTATCTCTTTCCTACCAGCACAGGCTGACCTCAAACTCACTGTGTAGCTGAGGCTTGCATTAAACTGGACCTCAGGTGGCCCGCTAATATGCCTGGCTTCTTCTTCCTTTTTAATACTGTCTTCTGCCCTTTCATCTTCTCCTGCCCCTCCCCTGAGGAGCCAAATACTCCCTAACTGGGCTGGACCCCCAACTCCCTAATGCCTGAGCTTCCTTCTCCCTTTCTCCTATCATGCAGATAATGCAGGGCTCAGGCAATGTTGGTGCATTCATGGTTGCTTGTGGGTCACAGTAGCAGCTGACTCTCTCAGCAGCTCATAGTGATTTTAATCTGGGAAGGTCTCTATGGGAACACAGCATCTCTGTGGCAGGAAGCCAAGCTTCAATTGTAGATCTGAATGATGAAGCATATATGACAGCATTGTGGAGTCCTTCACACCTGAACAAAGAAAATTCATAGGTATCATCAGTGTGAGGATCACAACTGGATGGATTCCACCAGAGTTAGTGAGGGAGATCTGGAAAGCTTCCGATCCTGAGGCTCCATCCCTTGATTTGAGGATAATGTGTATCCTGTATGATGACTGGGAAGATGATACTGATGTGCAGTCAGTTTTTGGTACGCTATTCCCCATCGCACTTGTGAGGTCCATACAAAAGGCTAAAGCTAATCAATGGAGTATACTCAGAAATGTGTGAGTTGGCATGGTAGCACTGAAGCATGGCACCTACCCCCCAAAATGTAAAAGTCTGTTTAGGAGAGAAAATAAAAAAAAACAATAGAACATGTAGAGTTCAGTAACCAGGAGAAGTCAAGGTCATAAATGTTCCCATGACTGACTAATCAAAGAAGCCCTTGTGGCGTGATGAATAGTCAAGAGATATTAGCAATTTGCTGTCATCCTGTGTGCCTGGTGTCACCCTGGCACGTCATGTTTAGGAAGTATGGATAAATGAGAAAACTGGACAGACATGTAGAAGAGACAAAACTGACTGCTGCAAAAAGACAAGTGAAAACGTTTCAAATGGCAGATGCCCTGACATCTTAGACATGATTAAGATATCAGGAGGTGGCATAGCAGATTCCAGAGCAATGCCCCCACCAATTCATACCCTGGGTCAAAAGTTCAGGTGGTTCATTGTGTGGACACTTTCAAATGGAATCTTAAAATGATGTGTGGCCTGACTCTCTCTTCTTCCCCAGGTCCAACTGCCAGCTGGTACGTGGGCCTTCTGTTTGGCTACACTCCTGTTCCTCTTGATGACCACGAAAAACCCCAACATCTACAGGATACCCCTCAGCAAAGTCACCTACTCTGAAGAGAACCGCATCTTCTTCCTACAAAACAAGAAAAGGATGGTTGAAAGCCCTCTGTAAAAGCAACGCCACACAATAGCTGTGGTCATGAGACATTTCTAAGTGCAGCTCCAGTTGGTTTCAAGATTCTCAGCAACTTCTTTTCACGGGGAATAGCTTTCAGGCTATCAGTGACCCATCCTTTGCTTGCTTTGTGTTTTTCTTTTTGACTGTATTCCATCAAGCACATGAGAACCATGTCCAGGTCACGGTCTCTGGAATGGAATTTAAGCCCTTCTGTGTGTTGGGTAGTGTTAATATTGCAATGTATTTATAAAGTCAAAATGTTCCAAGACAAAGAAGAATGGAAACAGAATAATTATTATTTAAAGCTATCTTTGATGTCAGTATTAAAAATTAAGTTCTGTAACCATCTAAGCCTACGGGATTCCCAGGCACAGAAGCAAAGCCAACCCAAAGTCCTCAGATAAACAGTTTGCTTTCAGAATTAGCACAAGTTACTCATGGCAACTGTGGCCAACATTGCAGTGGAACACGTTGATGGCAGGCTGGTCCCTAGCCCAGCAGTGGAGTGGTTCCTGCACCGTTGCGTGTGTGTGACGTTCTTGATGAGAATGGTTAGGGTTTTTCAAGCTGACAGAGCTGTGGGGAGGACTTTGCTGGTCAAAATAGTTTGGTATTGCTGCTCTTGGAATTTAAAAAATTCAGGTAGAGTTTATTTATTCTTATGAAATTTTTTCACTGAAATAGCCAATTCCTAGACATTAAATAAAATATATATGTATGGAATACTTAGCATAGTTGCTTTATTTTAATTATTATATTATTTTTTACTTCTTAGTTTTTGGGGGTGTTTGACATAAGGCCTTGTGATGTAGCCCAGGCTAGCCTAGAACTCAGCATCCCTGTTTCCATTCCCTAAGCACTGGGACTATATGTTAGTTTTTTAAGTGCTTCAGATACATGGCAACTTCATTAACCTCAAGAACCTTTTAATTAAAAGCTACATTTTAAATGAATTTAAGGACATCTTCTAGACACTGGCAGTTAAGTCACATTCACATAGTCTTTTCAAGAGTTCTTTAATTTCTATTTTTTATAATTTATCTTTATTTTGTGAGCATTGGTGTTTTGCCTTCATATATGTCTATGTGAGGGTATTAGGTTCCAAACAATTGTGAACTGCCAGGTGGGTGCTGGGAATTGAACCCAGATCCTCTGGAAGAGCAGTCAGTGTTCTTAACCACTGAACCATCCCTCCAGCCCCTAGTTTCATTTTTTTAAACAGACATTTTCTGCACACTAATGTTCTGTTTGGGTAACCAATGGTATTGGAACCACCTGAAAGAAATGCATGGAGGAAATTTTCCAGGTTTTCTTAGTAAATTTTCTAATTTAAAAGTTGCAGTTTCTGTGAAAAAAATATATGACCATCATACCTAAGAGGACAGTAGAGAGTTCCACTTGCTGTCTGCCAACTGTCCAATGAAATTTGTTATTTGGAGGTTGGGAAAGTAGCATTTTAAATCCTAAAGATTTTTTCCTATTGAATATGTTGTTAATGCCCAAAATCCTAGCGCTCAGGAATTGAGGCAAAAACACCACAAGTTGAAGGGTAGTGTGGACTACTCTGAATGGACCGGTCTCAAAAATCAAACAAACAAAAAAAGAAACACTTTCTCCCTCTTTCAATAGTCAGTGCTTGCTGGTTTTTAATCCCAGCCCTCAGGAAGCAGAGGCAGGTTGATCTCTGAGTTCAAGGCTAGCTTGGTCTAAAGAGTGAGTTTTAGGACAGCCAGGGTTATAACATAGAGAAACCCTGTCTTGATGAGCAAAAACAAGCAAACAAACAAAAATACAAAGTGTTGAGAAGACAATACACAGTTTGCTGAATGGCTGATGCAAATACGTCAGGTCACTCTCCCTCTATTCAGGAACCTGAGAACTGTGACCATTTTAAATCATGTGACCAAAGCTCGTTGAAGCCATGGATTTGCAATTGTCATTGATTCCTGAGTTGTCCTATAGAGAATCTGAATTTCCTGTGCTTGAACAGAAATTATTCTGTCTGGAATTTGGGAAATAAGGCTTGGGAACAGCAAAAAAAGTGTACGCAAAGACCCGGCCCCCCAGAAATGAAGACGCTGCATGAAGGCAGAATGGACTGAAGTGTCCACCATGCAGCTGAGCCTGTCTCAAAAACAGGGCTCTAACACACCTAAGCCAGTGCTGTCTCAGTCCTTCGAATGGGAACAAGACTAAAGCCTTCTATATTATTTTATTTATATAATATTAATGTCTTTAAGGTATTTTTGTTACTAAGTATTATCCTAAAGTTAAGAAAAAACTCTTAGGGTTCCTTTGTACCTTTTTTGCTATTGTCTGTGTAACAGATTCCTTTGTAAACATATGAATAAATTATATTCACAGCTCAATTCAGTCTCATGTGCCTTTATAGTTAGTAATGCTATTATATAGATTTGAACATTCACATACATACCCCAAGAGTTTAGGAAAGCCTGTGTACAGTATTGTCAGCTTTTAAAGCAATGGGTGAGAAAGCAAGACAAAAAAAACTGTTGGGCAGACAGACAACATGTCTGCCGGATGGCATAGGGTACCAATCACCATACATCATGTGATACCTACATGCCCATGCTGAATGTGGTGATGTGGTGACTGGCAGACAGTCTACCTCTTATAGAGGAATTTGAGACAGAGACCTACAACAAACCTGTTTATATGAAGATTAATTGTGGAATACTTGCTGGAATGTTTCCTGAGTACATTGGGTCGCCCCAGCCTCATAAAAAGGTTCTGTATCCTCTTACTAACAAATTGTCAGCAGAGGATAAGTTTTGGCAATGCTCACACAAGGAAAGCATGGGGCCCACTCGAATTCTAAATAATTATCTTTAATAAATAACATTCGCTTGTTTGTGTGTATGGGGGGCAGAGAACACTGCAGTGCGTGTGAGGGTCAAAAGATAACTGGTAGATGACCTGTTTTCTCCTTCCACCATGTGGGCTCCACTCAGATCTTCAGGACCAGCCTCAAGAGCGTTTACCCGCGGAGCCAACTCGAAGGCCCTCTATCTTGATCTAATGGTTGAAGCATCTAGATCATTCCACATCAGGAAACCTTTGGAAATCGCTGCGTTTCGTTTCATTCTGAGCTCAATGAGGCACTGAAAATGAGTGTCCAACATTTTCTGGTTCGTGATCTCAAATAAACAACGAGAAATCCTATTTCCTGTTTGGGTTGGGCCCATTGGATTCCTGCCCAACGAAGCTCTGAATTACATTGCAGTGACATGCAAGGACTTGGAAGGGAAGAAATGAGGCACAGAGAAAAGTTGGAACAGTTCCAGGAAACCTGGTTAAAATTAAGTCTCAGAGGAAATAATGGCAGCTAGGCAATGAGTAAGTGTCCCAAAGGCTAAGTGCATCTTGAAGCAATAAGATTGCAATGCACAAGACTGGCCAGCCCAACAAAGGGGCCTTTCTCCTTCTGAGGCCCCCTCCCCATGCTGGCCTCTCAATGACAGTTTGCTCCACCTAATGAAATACGTGAGCAATAGTCCCAGGTGAAATTCACTTCAAATCCAACACACTGGATTTCAAACACTTAATGGAAAAGGGGGTTAAAATATCAACAGATTTTGAGCTGATTAAATGTTGAAGTGGTTAACACTTTAGGTTCACTGAAATAAAATCATTGAAATTAACTTCTTTTGAACTTTTTGGGGGACTGGTAGCATATTTTTTTACTAATGATTCTATTAAAATAGAATTGTATTATTTTCCTTCCTCTAACTCCTTCCCTGGCCCTCTCCCTCCTATATTCCTGGTGTCCTCATCCCTAATTGTTTTATATATGTAACATATGCATAGATGATAGATAGATACATACATAGATACATAGATAAATACATAGATAGATGATAAAACCTACCGAGTCCTTCAGCATAGCACGTATGTGATTTCAGGGCTGCTGTCCAGTGTGAGCACAAGAAGAGCAATGCCCCAGCAGCACATCTATGCCACCATTCATGAGCAATGGAAACTGTAATGCACCTGGGTATAAAGCAATAGAGAACACTGGGAACTGCAGTACAATGGAATATGCACAACCTCACCTAAAATCCTTCACATTCACATGTTTTCAATGCTGCCTTCATTCAGATGCTTTTCCTCCTGGAAGACCAGAATTTGGCTTTGGATGCTCACTGGGGTTCTTACAGCTGCGCTTTCCAGAACCCTTGCCAAGTCCAAAGAAATGATGCGATTACAAAGGGCCACATTTTGTCAGATCCTGAGATTCCCAGAAAAGTCATATGTGTAGGAAGTATGTAAGGTTGCAATTTGACACAAGGCATAATTGCTTTCCAGGCCACAAGATGGGGGTCTCAGGACTGGGGATTCAGTGTCGGGTGAATAAGGGGTGTGGATGTTCCTAACATTAGGATTGATGTAGTCATACCCACAGGGATTCAAGCCAATACCACATAACCCAGGAAGAAACAACACTGGACCCTTCAGGCATGTCCATCAGCAACCCACCATCTAAGGCTTCTGGTCTCTAAAGCTATTCCTTTGAATTCCTAGTAAAAGAACACTACGCTGTGTGAAAAGCAACAGGTTGAGGCTTCAGATATTAAAACCTCAGCTTAACTGCTTTCTTTCTAGTCTCTTCCCACCAGATAATAAAAAGAAAATGCCGCAGGAAAGAGATTCTAGAAAAAAAATATATTTCATGGACAAATCCGAAAACTGGCGGTCATCTAGAATCAGGAGCACTGGCCTTGCAAAGGAAGGAATGATGAGAAAGAATAATGTACAAGAGAAAGCCAGGAGGATGCTTAGTTAACAGTGTGTTCTGGGCTGACCCCATCACAGTGGTGGAGAAGCCTACAGGGATGGACCGGCGTCTGTGCCCAGGCTGGCGCTGGGGTCAAGCAGTCCTTGTTGGTTATGGGGAGGATTTCCCCTCCATGCCTCTTACAGTGTGGCTGCTTCCTCTTCTCATGATCTCAGAATTTCAGTTTGACCTGTCAAGTAGCCAAATGTGTTTTCCCAGCATGCTTTGCACCTTCTCCTGGTAACAGCACCTCGGTTAAGGGATCTGTTCCTTCCATACCCATGGAGTTCCCTTGGGGCTGCCAGTGGCAACACTCTACTATCAGAGAGTGGAGTCAGATAATTCAGACCTTGTCAATCAGAGCACTATAATTCCTGGTTGGTCAGAGAGATAACCACCTGACCCAGACTAAGCCAGTCTTAGTCTACCCTGCAAGAACTTGGAATCTAAGCAGACACTCCGGACTAGGAGACCAAAGCTGTGTCTAACTGTGGTCTGGTAATGAGCTACAAGCTGCCAGCACCACCTAGTTTCTTTTCCTCTCAGGCCCAGGGTGCTGTTTCTCTGATACACTAAACTGCACTGTAGCTTTCCAATAAGATTGGTCTGTGTTGCAACCAACAGCCAAAATCTCAGCGGCATTCCTTTTCTCAACGATGGAACAGGCCAAGTGAAAAAGGGGTAGACGTCTCCCATGGCTGAAGAATGAGCTGATGCAGGATGGAGTATGACTAAAGTCACGTGCTCATGACTGACACTTAGGGGACCCTTGGAAGCTCAACGTCCTGATGTTAGAGAGCTCTGTCTGTCTGTCTGTCTACAGGGAAGCAGATGCTTGAGCCTATTGAACTTGTCTCTTCCTGCCAGTGCTCCAAGGCACTAGATAGGGCCTGGATGGCTGCCATCTCTGCCTCTGCAGGTCATTAAGCTACTATATCCCAGCTCTAGAGTCGCTCTTATATACTGTCAGTGATTCTCTGACTGGAACTCTGCTGCTAGGGGGAACCAACTACAGGTACACAGGGGGTACAAGGGGGGGACTGTCACTGTAAGTGGCAGTTCCCACATTTTTGTTACTCTACTATCACCTGTGTCACATCCCCTCCGGTGACTCCAGATGAACTTTGTCCATGTACCAACTTTAAAGTTGCAAGAAAAATGGGAAAGTGTGATCCCTAATCCCCTTCCAAATATCTTCTGTTATAAATTCACTCCTTGTTGTGTGTATGTGTGTGAATGTATGTGTGTGCATGTGCATGTGCATGAGTGTATCCATGTGTTTGAATGGGTGTGTGTGAATGTGTACCTGTACACATTTGTATGTACATGTGTATGCATGTATGTATGTACGTATGTGCATGTGCGTGTTTGCAGGGGGTGACAATCCTGATCATTATCAAATGACACTCCCCTGGAAGCAGCTTGGCAACAGAGATACTGACCTCTGCGAAAGAGGGGGCCCTTTCCCAATCCCCAAAGCTATCCTAATATAACCTGCTTCTGGATATTTCTCTTGACTCTTCCTATGGACAAGGGACCCTGTGGCCAATGGGAAAAGGAGCCACCTGGTACCTGGGACCCCCATCTAGACTTTTCCCCAAACACCAAAGATCATGGAGCAAGCTGTCCAGATATCTCAGAGCTTGATTCCTAGATCCCAGAGGACACCTTCTGTGCATAGTTCTTCTGAGTGGACCATGAACTTCCACGTTACACATTCCTTCTTAGCCTAAGGTGCTGATAAGTGACAGCTGACAGAAGGTGGACGCAGAGAGAAACTGCTCCCTGACTTTTCCACACACGTTCATGTCACCCTACCAGCACAGATGAGTCTAGCAGAAAGAAAGACAAAGTAGGACGGGCCAGGGACTTTGCTTAATGCACTTACTCCTGCCCTACAGATTCCCTGGAAGAACCTGGCAGGAAATAAGTCACCTCTGGGCCACTAAAGCTATGAAACTAAGGTCTAGGACATGACAAGGTGCGCATGTGCAGGACTGGAGCCACACTGAGCTTCATGGTTTAGCCACCAACTGAGCTCTCTAAACGATGTCAGTGAGGGTAAAGGCCCGAGAAGGCCTAGGCTGAGCAAGCAGGGGCTTTGGCTGTACATTCTTAAGTGACCTCTGAGTCACAGAGTTCATGCTGGGCAGAGTGAGACTCAAGGCAGGAGCCGAATCTTCCTGTAGGGTTCCTCAGAGGTGAATAAGCTGAACTGCTGAACAATGGATAGAAGGCTCCAGAAGCAGGGAAGTCACACTGGCTGGCCACTCACTCTGCTATGGTCAATGAGCTGACAAACCTATCTGCTCAAGTTCTCTGTATTCCTGACAGGGACATTCTCCTCTGCCACCTCCTGTTCCCTTTACCCCCTTAGGGATGAGAATTCCTGTTGTTCTTACCCAGCATTGTGGTTACACATTGGGTACACTGTGGTGACACATCTATTCCTTTGTAGGGACATGGGAAACACATCCAGACCTGATAGAAACAGGGACGTCTCATTCAGAAGACTTGGGTTGTTTCCCATGGGGAAAAGGGTGTGAACAATGTGTTATTATCACAAACAGGAAC